CTCATTTTCTCCAATAATTATCTCATTGTTAAGCTCTAACTCTTCCAACTCCACCGATTTTATATTGTTGTTGCTACCTGAACTTCCATTTATTTCCAAATTTTCTTTATCAACATCACATTTTCTTTTTTAAGTTTTTGGTTGGATATATATATATAAGAAAATGAATAATATGGAATAACAAAAAAAATTAAAAAATTTTATTTTAACTAGAGTAATGATGAGTGGCAGGCAATAACCACCACCACCCTTAAAACACTTACCCTCTTTCAACTAATTCTTTTTCTGCCCTTCTTTTATTGGTATTTTTGAATCTGTTTGATGACATTTTTAATAAAATAAAATAAAAGAAGTTTGTGATTTGATCAATGTGTACACATTAATCATTTATCCTATTGGTTTTTTTTTTAGGAGGATAGATGCAAATTGATTTTTTTTTGGAAAAACAAAAAATAATACATTTTTTGACAGAGTCCAAGGTGACAAACATGATTGTTGTTGTCTGATTTGGTTTGGGTCTCCTAAAGAAACGTGTTAATAACTAACCAGTGATACTTTTTTTATTTGTATGATGTGTCTTTTATTTTAGCTTATAAATATTTTAATTGGAATCAAAACACGGAGCAAATCTTGCTGTGTAATTACAAGATTTCATTGATAATATTTTGCTTTGCATAATCGTAATAATAATACTAATATTATATTATTATAATTACAAGATGTCAAGGCAGCATTATCCCTTAAACGGTCAAAGTATTCTTTAGTAGTAGTAACACAAAATAATTTTTTGATCACGATCTTTAGGGATGTGACGGTTTATGTCTCGTCCGGCGACGAATAATATTTTTATAATTGATACGTGACGATTAATATACTAAATTACAGGTGACATTTATATTGCCAAAACAAGACAAATTAATTGTCACTTATAATTTAGTAATTAATCGTCACGGATCAATTATAAAAATATTATTCGTCGCCGGACGTGACATAAACCGTCCCCATCCCTAACGATCTTGCATTCTTATTGGCCAATTTAACGATCTGCAAAGTAAAAATAGTCAATCGACCAACTTTTAAGGAAGATTTTACGAAAACCACAAGGACAACAACCGAATTTTTATTCACAGATCAATCAGCTGAATCTCAAAGATCATTTTCGTATTAGGAAGTAATACCTTTAGAAAAAGTTTTTTATAACAGAAAAAAAATTTCGGCTATCAATAGCCGAAAAACCATTTAAGGGATACGTTTATTTTTACTACTAAAGCACAAACATACTATTAAAATAAATTCACTTATTATGAATTACTTGAGGAAAGTAATAAAAACTATTTATTTAGTTATTTTATTCGTTTTTTAGCAATTGCTAGCTTGTGCTGTCTGGAATACCTACTAATCCAATTTTCAATTGTACTTAATTTTGGCAATGTCAATTACTTCCAACTCACCTATTTCCATGTTTTTTTTCAATTCTTCAAGCATTTCTTTAGGTGTATATCATTCACTTTTACATGCATCGCCTGTGTGAAAAAAGATTTTTAATAACTCAACTACTTTATCAGACATATGTTTTTCACCACCTTTCTTTCCAAGTTCCTGATTTTCTTTCAAAGCCCAGCAAGTGGGAAGTAATTTCTATATAAATAAATGGACACATAAACAAGAATTTTATCAAATACCTTGTTATTATATGTTTTTCAGCATTATCAAATTGTTCTTCTATAATAGATAAGTTCTTTTTTTTTTTCTTGATTGTAAATTATCCATATCATCTTTATCATCCATTATTACATCTAAGTCCATTCTTTTCTTTGCTTCTAGATAATAAAAACATATAATTAGCCAAGTTTTTAGGTGTTGCGAAAAATAATTATTACCTTCTATTTTATTATCTGTTTCAAATTCAATGTTTGTTCTTAAAAGTACAACTAAATCTGGTTGATTATTTTTTTCATCATAATTTAGGTCTCTTGATCCAAAAATTTTTTAATATCATCTTTCTTTAATTTATCCAATCCCATACCTGGTTCTAAAGAATAAGTGGTAATTTGAGACATAGATTTTAATGATGATGTACTTCAATATATTTAAATATAGAATATAAAAAAAATTTTTTTGTTTATTGTTTTATTTAGAAAAAACTACTAATTCAAACCTGTTGATGGAATTGGTTAAACTTGCACCAGAACAACATCTATATCCTGGTAATAAATTACTATTTTCATTGTCTTCAGTAATACATGTATAATATTGTCTGCCATTTTGTTCTATGCTTGTTTCCCAACCAACTCTCCTTGGATAAAGTAACGCACCTTCTTCTGGTTTACTTTTATGCTTCATAACCCACCATTCTCTAGAATCTATGTCATAGTGCAAGTGTGGCTTTATTTGGCCTAATGAAATGAGATTTACAGTAAAATTGGGATGTTTAGTCATTTTAAAATTTTTAAAAATTAAAATCAGCTCAATATTATTTTTACTAAGTAATTTTATTATGTTTAATATCCCCCGCATTTTACTATATATTAAAATGTATGTCGATCCTTTCCGTTTATCACGAATTGCGAATTAATAAAAAATTGTAAGAAAAAATTTCACGTGATATATTCAAATATCTTTCCTTAAAAGGAAAGATCATCTAACAGAGCGGCTCCTTAACGGAACCGTCCCATCCCTAACATTCTGAGAAGTGGAAGAAGCAGTACGGTTCGTCATACAAGTTTTTGATATTCTAATAGAATGTCCCCATTTAATAAACTCCTCGCACATAGACTTCAAATTTATATCAAGGAATTGTGTTAACAGTTCCAGAATTTCTTTCCTTCCTTTTGGTATTGCGCTATTGAATTAAACCACTCGTGAGATTTTAGTAAAAAGTGTAGAGGACGTAAGTGTGGTGTTCGATGGCTGTTGATCATCAAACATATGTTACGTCAATATAACAAATTATTATGTGCGGATTTTTTTTAGTATCTTTATCATATTGTAAATGTTGACAACAAAATTCAACTAACAATATATTTTTTTGAAAATATAAATTATAAAAAAGAAATTTCTATTAATTTATCAGTTACAATGTAAATTTTTATGGTAAAATTTAATAATAATTGACTTTTTGTTTTTCATAATAAAATTAAACAAAATTTTTTTATAGTCTTATTGCTTAAGTCTTCTATAATGAATCTATAGAGTTTTTTCCCCTATCTCGTTTGGTTATAAAGTTTTTCTATTAGCAGTCTTTTTTCAATTTCTTTAGAACATATAAAAAAAAATTTTTTTGTTTGGCAAGAAAAAAACTCTCTATAACTTAAAATCTTGATACATTTTTTATAATTTCCCTTGGTTCTATGTTTGTATCTTTAGTTGAAGGCTCTGATAGAATTTTTATTTTATATATATTTTATTTTTTAAAAAAAAGTTTGTTATTGATTAATTAGAGCATCTTACGTCCCAGTAAGTAAGGACTTATTTCACACAATATTATTTTATTATCATGTAATCGTTATATTCAACTCTTGTGATACGATTCTTCACTAAAGACCTGCCTGGGTTTATTTACAAATAGAGAAAATCTAGCCAGCTTTGACAACTGCTAACAAAGCAGGGGCCATGACCACAATCAAGAAAATGTTTGAAAAGATTTTGCAATGGACAAGGTATTGACAAAATACCAATCAACATTAGTCGCGGGATTCCAAACACCAATTTGTGTTTATGTAACTCGAATATTAAGAAGTTTCCATCTTTTTGTTTTAATCTCTGCGGACGAAGTCCGCTCCAACCCCAAAGAAACATAAAGAAAGGACAGAACATCACTAACCCATCCGGTTTTCATCCCTCCGTAAATGTTTCGTGTCAACTGTTTCTTCGATTCTAAACCTCGATTTTCTCGTTAACGGTATTCATTCATTCAGAAGCGAGGTCAATTAAGGTATTTTACCTTTGATGCAGTCACAAATAAATTCTTGTAAAGCGCTTGGCAGCCAAGAAATTTTTTTGAATAATTTATATTATAATAATAATAATAAAGCTCTTTCCTTTTTTGGAGGATTGTTCCATGCTTTATTTTTTTTTATGCAGGTTTCTTTAAATGTTAATACATTTTGTTCAATTGTTTGCCGTAGTGCAGAACAATAAAAATGTTAACAATGTAATTTTAATAAATTCGAATAAGTTCGACTTAATAAACAAGTTTTGACTCTTGAACGTAAATCAAAACCATTCGTTGATTCATTCAATGTTATTAAGATTTGCTATATTTGGTAGATAATTGTTAAATTTGGAGATCAAAAAGTTTAATGATTATCATTTACCAATTTTAGTATTTCAATAAAATTAATATTGAATTCTTACCTCATTTTTTCCATATTAATACCACTCCAGTGTCATAATCGGAAGCCCCTATTGGAGATGGATGAATCGATATTTGACAAATATTTATATTACTATTAAAAATTGGCGTTACACCCCGGAAATAGTCTTTTGAATGATGTTTAACAATAGGAATAATCGTTTTAAGAACTCGGAATTTATTTATTATTTGGAATTTTAAAAAATAAACATATTAATATAAATGGAAATTACATTTCAATGATCACCTATCAAATAAATTATTATTTATTATAGAAGACAAAAGATTTGATTTTAGATATATTAATATCGGAGTTCGTAGAGATAAAATGCGCTACATTCATTATTATTTTTTTAAAAAACAAAAATCTAGCAATATTCAAAGTTGTCGATTTCTTGATTATTTTCATAAGTAATTTCACTCTAGAAAAGAACAAATCCTAATTCTACTTTTCTCTAAAAATGCTTTTCGTTTTCAGATCCAGTCGGAAAATAGTTAAGAGTCTTAAATAGTTGATTTATATTCTACGAAAAACGCCTGTTTAAAGATTCACCTTTATACGTAATTAATTAATTCACAGTTCCCGGAATCAAAGAAATTTCAATGTTTGAGATGGGTGACAGCTAGTATCGTAATCCTTCTTTATATGGGCTACCTGGCATTTCTCATATATCGAATCATCAACGACAAACCATTGATACAAATAACTTATGAGTATTTGGACAAACTCAGCATTCCTGGTATGTTAGCGAGCGAGGTGTTAAAATTCTCAAAAACTTTTCAATCTAACAGGTTCTTTATTTATATTTATACTCTCACAAAGAAATTGAACTCTGTGGTGATCACAGTGATATCGAAATATCTAAATGCATTTTCCATTGGAATAATAACGAAAATTCCACTGACGGCTGTAGCCCGGAAAGCAAAATATTTGAATCTGAAAAAGTCACGACAGTGGATCAGGATGGGGTTAAGCATTGCTATACTCTTCGAGCTAACAGTAGTTATTTTTTCAGTGACTCGGAAAAAATCTCTGAAGGGTTGTCGGTAGGGGGCATTGATTTTTATTTCAAAATTCTTAATATTTCCGCCGTTATCGAGCATTTTTTATCCGTGGGAACTATTACAGGCAAAATAATGGATAAAGGTAATTAATTAATGTACTACATCTCTTCTATCATGAAATATTCTATGATTCTATTGATATAACATATGATCAACTATTATGCTTTAACAGAATTCAAGAATTTATCACCGACAAATCCAGTAAAAAAACGATTGGATCAACAAATGAATACGTTCGCGGGCATACAAAATGTATCGGCTCTGGTCAGTTATTTTAATTCACCGATTATCTTTTCAATAGATGATTATTACTAAATTTAATCTACACCAATATTCAGATATTCTTTAAGAAAACCACCTTGTCCACTTTACCCGACGACATCTCCACAATTCTCGGCCTACCTCCTAATTACATTAGCACACCCTTCTTTACCACTGTGTCGAAATACTTTCAAATGCATCCAAATGATAGCTTTCCCTTTACAGGTCACTTTTATGTTGCTCCAGGAAGTTTTCTCCACGAAGTGCAATCTGAAAAACGGTAAATCTGACAACTCATTTCAAAATTTGAAATTTTGGTTTCTATAACATTTTATTATAATCTTTAGTTTTTCTTTGTCCTATTCATTAGTTCGTATACGGTTCTTGGGACTCTGGGAGTGGCTGGTGGTGCTATTGGTAAGCTAAAAAGTCGATATTAAATATTTGATAGTTGCCTCTTGATGAATATATTTAATCAATTTTGAACTACCATTACTATTTTTGAATTAGGATTGATTGGTGGAATTTATATGTTGTTTTTTGGACAACCAAGAATTAATCCTTGGTAAGTTTCTAAAGCGTTTACTATCTTTGTTTAATTTTCCGAAACATTTAGCTAATTTCAATATGAAACTTCTCTAAAGGGGACTAATGCATAAAGTGGCAAAATCAGAAGTAATACGCAGTGCGGACTTGGAGAACCTTCCATTCGTCTCGAATACTAGTCCTACCAAAGGAAAAATTTCTACTAGAGAAAGGGTAAAGAGGGTGGAAGGTAGGATTCTAGAATTAGAAACAATTTTGGGAGAATATGTGATTAATACATCTGCTATGAAAAAGCTGATAAGATGATTATGTAAAACGAATATAAATGTAGATATTTAAGCCTTCTGGAAACACTGTCTCTTGTACAGAAGTATGGCTTGCTTTTGTTATATGGGTGTTATCATTATTTATTATTATACACAAGAATTAATCCTTGGTAAGTTTCTAAAGCGTTTACTATCTTTGTTTAATTTTCCGAAACATTTAGCTAATTTCAATATGAAACTTCTCTAAAGGGGACTAATGCATAAAGTGGCAAAATCAGAAGTAATACGCAGTGCGGACTTGGAGAACCTTCCATTCGTCTCGAATACTAGTCCTACCAAAGGAAAAATTTCTACTCAACTCATTGCAATCTTGAATATTTTTTACAAATCAAAAAAAACAAATTCTTTATCAAATTCAAACGTATTGTCCAGAATCTTCATCTCGCATTTTGAGACATTTTTCCATCTGGTGGAATTATCTAAACCTTTCCTATCGGAAAGAATATTTCATCATAGTACAACATATCAATACTCATATCTAACTAAAACAAATTATAAGTAAACTATTGGTAAAGAACTCGAAGAATTGTTGTACATTTATTCTTATCATGTAAATAAAAGTTCTCCATCTATTGATGCGCCTCTAATTTGGAAGTTCATTTTTTCATTTAATATTAATATTTATTTTATTTATTTGTTTATTTATTGATGGGTTATAATAAAAAAAAGATTTTACATGTTAAATATATCACACGTGAAATTCAAATTAGCCAAAACCAAAAACTTTTTTTTATGCAAGTTTCTTTAAATGATAATTCATAATTGGTATTTCACTTTGTTCAATTGTTTATCGTAGTGCATGATTTAATTAGTAAATTCAAACAAGTTTCGTAAATCAAGTAATCAAAACCATTCGTTGATCAATTCAAATTTTTTAAAAATAGGTTGCTATAATTGGTAGATAATGACAATAATAATTGTTAGTATTAAAAAGTGTTCATCATATAAGTTTTTCTTTATCAATGACCAATTTAGTATCTCAATAAATTTAAATCGCCCCAATATCATGATAAAGAGATCGGGAAATCCTATTGTTGCCAATGAATTGATAATGACTATTACTATTAAAATTGGCGGAATAAAATTCTTTTTTTTACAATCAATAATAGGAAATGATTTATAAATAATGGAACTAATTCATTTATCATTTGAGTTTTAAAAAAGAAGTTTCTGCAACATAAATAATATTTTCAATGACCGTCCCGATCAAATAAATTTATATTAATTCCGCCATATTCATTTAAAAAATTAAAATAGCAGCAATATTCAAAATTGCTGATTACTTGTTCTTTTCATGAGTAATTTCACCCTATAAAAGAACGAATCCTAATTCTACTTTTCCCTAAAAATGCTTTCTATTCTCGGAACTGGTCGGAAAAGAGTTAAGAGTCTTAAATATAAATAGTTGATTTATATTCTATGAAAAATACTTATTTAAAAACTCACCTTTATATATAATTAATTAATTCACAGTTCCCGGAATCAAAGAGGTTTCAATGTTTAAGATGGGGGACAGCTATTACAGTAATTCTTCTCTATATAGGCTACTTGGCATTTCTTGCATATCGAATTGTCATTGATAAACCGTTAATACAAATATCTTATGAGTATTTGGACAAAATCAGCATTCCTGGTGTGTTAGTGAGCGAGGTGTTAAAATTCCAAAAAAATTTCAATCTAACGGATTTTTTATTTATATTCATATTCTCATAAAGAAATTGAACTCTGTGGCGATAACAGCGATATCGAAATATCTAAATGTATTTTCAATTGGAGTAATAACAAAACTACTGATGGTTGTAGCTCGGAAAGTAGAATATTTGAATCTGAAAAAATCATAACAAAGGAGGATGGGGATAAGTATTGCTATACTCTTAAGGCTGATGATAGTTACTTTTTCAGCGACTCAAAAAGACTCCCCGGAGAATTGTCGGTAAAGAGCATTGACTTTTATTTCAAAATCCTTAACATTTCCGCCGTTGTCGAGCATTTTTTATCTGTAGCAACTATCACAGGCCGAATATCAGATAAAGGTGATTAATGTACTTTACCTTCTGTGTCAAGAAATATTTTATGATTTTACTGATACAATATGTAATCATTAATTATGTTTTAACAGGGTTCAAGGACTTATCACCGACAAATCCAGTAAAAAAACGATTAGATGAACAAATGAATACGTTCGCGGGCATCCAAAATGTGTCAGCTCTGGTCAGTTATTTTAATTCGCTAATTATCTTTCCATGGATGATTATCACTAAATTTAATCTACACCAATATTCAGGTATACTTTAAGAAAACCACATTGTCTACTTTACCTGAAGACGTATCCACAATCCTCGGCCTACCTCCTAATTACAATAATACATCCTTCTTTACCACTGTGACAAAATACTTTCAAATGCATCCAAACGACAGCTTCCCCTTTACAGGTCACTTTAATATTGCTCCGGGAAGTTTTCTCCACGAGGTGCAATCTGAAAAACGGTAAATGAGACAACTCATTTCAAAATTTGAAATTTTGGTTTCTATAACATTTTATTATAATCTTTAGTTTTTCTTTGTCCTATTCATTAGTTCGTATACGGTTCTTGGGACTCTGGGAGTGGCTGGTGGTGCTATTGGTAAGCTAAAAAGTCGATATTAAATATTTGATAGTTGCCTCTTGATGAATATATTTAATCAATTTTGAACTACCATTACTATTTTTGAATTAGGATTGATTGGTGGAATTTATATGTTGTTTTTTGGACAACCAAGAATTAATCCTTGGTAAGTTTCTAAAGCGTTTACTATCTTTGTTTAATTTTCCGAAACATTTAGCTAATTTCAATATGAAACTTCTCTAAAGGGGACTAATGCATAAAGTGGCAAAATCAGAAGTAATACGCAGTGCGGACTTGGAGAACCTTCCATTCGTCTCGAATACTAGTCCTACCAAAGGAAAAATTTCTACTAGAGAAAGGGTAAAGAGGGTGGAAGGTAGGATTCTAGAATTAGAAACAATTTTGGGAGAATATGTGATTAATACATCTGCTATGAAAAAGCTGATAAGATGATTATGTAAAACGAATATAAATGTAGATATTTAAGCCTTCTGGAAACACTGTCTCTTGTACAGAAGTATGGCTTGCTTTTGTTATATGGGTGTTATCATTATTTATTATTATACATGTTTTATTGTACTGTATTATTTAATATTGTATTATAATTAATTATCTTTGATTTTTTGACTTTTATATACATATTTGTAAATATAAATTTTTATTTGTTTATAATTAAATCCTCAAGTTTCATGGAATTATTGCCATTATTATTATAAACAGTTTCAAAGTATTAATATTCAAGGTGAAGCGTTAACGTTAACATTCAGACCTCGTGACCATAATATATTTTTAAGTTTGTTGATGAAAAGTAGTAGATCCATGATATTATATTGTTATATATTATTATTATATAATACTATATACATATAAAGTTCACTGTAGGTAATTTATTCCTTGCGCAGATACGCTTGTTTACTACTGGCTTTTTTTTCCTAGCATTGAAAGTACCAAAATATTTGAAGTATTATAAATTAGTAACTATTTTGGGACCATCCCCTTTCCTGATTGTGAACACTCCACCTCGGTTATACGAATCCCCCCATGCTTGGTAGAAAATAAGGAAATTTTGTTGTGGGTGTGGTAAGGGTTTTCCCTGATTATTCACACATTTGAATGGCACTCACTCTCCAGTCTCGATCTAATATCCACAGAGTTATAATGTTTCAGTAAATGGTGCATTTTTTGCAAGGTGAAATGTGAATCTTGTATAATAATGCTTTTCGAGTTAAATGTTGATTCTTTAAGTCCATAAAGTACACGTATAAATGCTCATTATTTAGATGGAGTAGGATGTTTATCATTATTATTGTTTTTTTAACTTCAACCCATAGCATTTTTTCCAACTTGACATGGTCATTTGCTACAGTGGAAAATGAGCTATAGTTAACTCCAGTGAAGAATATCTCATGCAGTTTGATATCATAAAGTTATTTCCATTTGCGATAAGTCTTTTATAAACACCTTTCTCATCTTTCTTTAGTTGTTCACAAATTTCGAAAATCGTAGGTGGTTGGGGTGTCACACATCAGTATAAACACAAACATAGTTGAGCACACTTATAAAAAACTATATGTAAGGATTTTTTATTGGGTGAAAT